AGTACGTGATGGTGCGGGTTGTTCCACTGCCAACTCTTTCCATTCCAATTAGTGAGAGTGAGATGATAACGACGAGAAAAGAGCTCACACCAGCAAAGTGAGAACTCGTCTAACCACGCCTTTTCTACCCCTTGTGCACGTATGATCGCTCGTTCAGTATGGGATCTTATATAAGGCACTCTGTGCTGATTTTTTTCTTTTCTCCTCCATTTTTGTGTTATTACCACTCACTCATTACCACATTTACCACTCTGTCATTAGTATTTGTGACGCATAACACATCATTTATGAACCCGGGGCGAAGCTCCAATTTCAAATTTTGGAAACTTTCCCACAAATTGTTCTTATTTAGGACATCACAGATTCTGGACGTACTGAGTGCAGGATCATATCATGGTTTCCTTGCTGTGTTTACAAGAAATATAGTAGAAGATATGAAGCGCAATGCGTTAAATACGCCCGGGAAGCCGAGTGTTGCGTTGAGTACAGCATTACTGTCGTTCATTTACCATCTCAGCAACAATGATCCTGGTGGTTCGTTTGTTACTTTAGTATTTTTCTTTTGTCCATTTTAATAAGTCTATTGACTTTTTTTCGCAAAATGCTGACTCCGTTTCAGGAGAAACCTTGGCTGCTTGCGGCCTCACGCAGACGCTGCTGAGCGTGATTTCTCATCATGCTCTTCCACTCGATCAGGCAACGTTGGCTACACGTTGTACTCGTATAACTGACAACTTCACTACGATCGATGTCACGGGCTTCAACAATTGCAAAGGAATGGACATCTGCATCGACCGTCTGATTGTCAGTTTTTGAAATGCACTTTTTGATTTCTTGTTTTCTTTTCCATGTTCTTCGTTATTGGTTGTATTTATATTTCATTTCAAATGTTTTTTTTCAGTACGAGGTAGATGAGTGCAGAAAGGAGCAGCCATTTGTCATTGATACCAGTGGAGATGTTGATGATGACAGTGTTGGAAGCGTTTTCGTACGCGCACCTGTAATTGGAAAAACATGCCATCCACAGCGATCTGGACTGATTAAGGCCCTTATCACATTCATCAAGAGAGCTATCCAGGATACTCAGTTCCAAGATAGCGTTCGACATAGTGAGTTATAATGCTGATATTATTTTTTTTTTCAAAACAAAAAAAAAAAATCAGCCAGGCCGTGAAGCTACTTTATCTTGTATGTACATGGTAAGTCCGGTATTCTGTATCACTGGCGTTAAAGGAAAATGTATTTATCAGGCCGAAAATTCGCGATTCGGGGAACGCGCGAGGCTTGACTGGGCACCGGGCACGTCCTGCCGTTTAGGGAAATTTTTTAGACACCACCTATTACTCCTCCGACCCTCCCTCCTCCCCGTCATAATTTCATTTTTCAGTACTATCCGATCCCCATCACGCCTGCCATCACCCTAACTTTCTGCCACTTTTCCGAAAAATTTCTCCAGTTTTCAGAGGATTTTCTGGAAAAAAATACCACCTTGAGTACGGGTAGGTGAGGTTGGCATAATGCCAAAGAAGCAGGAAAAATCACGAAAAGTCAATATTCGAAAATATCGAAAACATTTTGCTCGAAACTTGATACGATCCTCTTTTCCCACCTCTCCCTCCGCCCTTCGAATATGAGCCTCTTGGGTTCCTAAACGTAAGAGGAACATTGTTTGAACATCAGTCGATACTTATCTCAAGGTTCCCTGATTATCCAGAATCGCCATACCAAAAGGCAGGATTTCTCTTGTCCCTAATTCTCTTAAAATGTCGATTCTCTCAAATGGAGAATTCTTCACCTTTGCAACGTAAGCGGGGTTCCACGCAAATCTGTGGACATTAGGTTTCTCCATACTGCTTCTATCCATTCTAATTCGAAATATTCCAGTTATGGAAGGACAATTGCCTGATGCGTTGATGCACATAATCAGCAATTCGGAGTACTACTCGGCATCTTTATACCACCATGCAACCCAACTTGTTGTTAATTTCATCTACCAGGTATATGTGCTCATGTAATACTTGGGAATTATTTTTATAACCGTGCAATTATTTAAGGAACCAGCTCAGTTGACGGTCCTTCAGAACAGGCATGTGCCATATGTGATCCTGCAAAGTATGCTGCGAAAAGAGGTAGATTGGTGATATCAATTTCAAGTTTGCTTTTCTAATGCAGATTTGACTTACAATCCCTAACATTTCTGAAATTTAGCTTCCAAACTCGCGTGACGTGATCAGTCATATGGGAAATGTGTTCACAGCACTGTGCCTCAATGAAAAAGGTACTTACAGTTCACTAGCGATTTTCTAAAAGATTCTTAGACATGGTTGACCCTTCACGAATCCCTCTGATTTTTGTTTGTTGAGGGGAAATTATGGCGTAAACCGCATTCAGGCTTCGTGATCGGATTGTGCGGCTACGGCGGGGGTGCTACAGAGCCAAGAGGTGCACCGCCAGATTCGAAATCGGGCCGCGTTCACACAGTCCCAATTTGAAATGTGTCGTTGCGGCTGTGGACGTTTTGGCGATGGAAGCCAGAATGAAAAAAAATTAAACCCTTCGCGGCAAGTTTGCGAACATGCGTGTTGAGGTGTTTTGGGAACAGAGCCTATGGCGCGGGCGCTCGGCATTTTCACCCAAAGCCAATGAAATAGTCGCGCTTATGGGTAAAGCTTCCACGAAAATCGAATTTGTGGCCGACTCTGCTTCTAGGATGAAGTCTAACTGTCGAATATTGGGGTCGTAAAGGAACCTTATTGCCAATTTTCCATGTTTCAGTTTTATATTGTGTAGGTGTAAGACTGATGGCTTGCATTCAGGACTCAAGCAGTTCAAGGCTTATGCGCCGTTTGACCATGTGTTTAACATCGTGTTGAGCATAAAGTTCATCGTAACCATGAAAAAGAAGCGAAGTGAAATGAGTGAGTTTGAGTTAAGATCCTTGAAGATCTAGCAATATATGACTACATTGACATTTTTTAGATGAAGCTGCACAAGGAATTGGAAGTTCACTGGATGATTTGTTGAGACATCAACCCACTCTGAAGCCTTTAATGCTGAACTCAGTCCTTGGGGTTCGTTTGATACTTTACTACAATATAATATGTGTCAAAGGTGCTAGCAAACCACACATTGTCCATTCTCGAAACCTCAGCTTGATGTCACTTTATTTTTATTAAAGATACTTGTGCCATATGAGGTAGGCAGCTGTGGGTGCTTGAATGGTCAGTCGCTCCGACCGTTTCGTTTGCAGAGACCGAAGATTGTGTCGTTCGCGCGCTCTTTTAAAGGCACACCCTGGGTTCAAAAATATGGAGTTGTGCAGCTCAAATTCTAGTGAGAACGTAGTAGAAAGTTCGTGAAGGGAAAAGCAGAAAAGCCGCCCATGTTCCATATGGAACCCTGTGCTGAACTGCGTTTGTATGTGCATAAGGCGGGGAAAGGGCGTGCTCGGACAATTCCTCAATTGTTGGTGCCGGCTCTTTTTTCCTTATCATCTAACTGTCACCATTCAAAGTGGAGGCAGTCAGTTGCAGATTAACCGCACCATCAGCTAGCAACTAAACATGGAAGTTGGGCTCCATTGTAGTCAGTGGGCGGGGCCGTGGTCTCGTCGTGAGCGGGGTGGACCTTCCAACGTATCTTTGAGCAGCAAAATCAGTACAACCTCCGCCCTTGCAGGCGGAACTACTTGTTCCTAAGAAGGTATCTGAACATCAAATAACTGGGGGCGTGCCTTTAACACGCATCGTGTGCCATCACAATGAGTAGTGCGAAATGCTTGGCGGAATAAACCATTCCACTAACCTTGCTTCTTAGAATTAAAACTGCTTTCAAGAGGCTGCATAGTCTTTTTCCAGATGTTGGACCGTCTAGTCGAACTCGGCAACAACCCACCGCCGAACACCAGAATAGTTATGGCACTTTCAAGATCAGCTAGCAAGGCAGCTAGTCAGAGTTTTGGCAGTGGATCAAATACGCCAAATGTTGAACAGGTGTATTGTTTTCGTTTTTGTTGCGTTTAATTGATGATTTTGAATATACATTTATAGCTCCCAATGTCCCCACCAGAAATAGAAGAAATGTCTGACGACGACGATGAGGCCGAGATGAGCATGGACGAATTGAGCGGCGTCGGTCAATGTGTGGCCGACAAAATGGTTGGATTTGTACTAACAATTATTATTTCTCATTTTTTTGTTTAGTTTTTGACTTCACTTATGCTTTTATCCCTTCAGGGTCTTGAAATGGATTGCCCCTCGGACGCTAAGGACGGCACCAGACTTTTGCCGCTTGGCGACTATCTACTAATATTCACCAAAGTTCGCACTCTTGAATTTTAATGTCTACGTTCCTTGCTCACTACACGTTTTTAATTAAGATTTTCGAAGCAATCATAACCCAAGTGGCTGCAGCGGATCTCGTTGAGGGTTTTGTGGAGAAGAATGGTGTTGAAAAGGTAAGTGTACTCATTAGTGGCCCACTTCGTTTCCCGGAGAAGATGTAACGTTTGAAATGAAACTTCGAATGTACTCTTTGAAGTAGATATAGCCGGAGACGGTCAGGAAAATTGCAATTTGCCGCTCCGTCGCGCGCGGCGATATGGGTGTTTTCCTGAGCCTGCTTTCATACTTTGCGGCAGCGTCAAGAGAATAGGAAACTATGGATATTGATTCTGCGCAGCAAGGGTTAGAGTATCGGGAAGTAAAAGGGAGCAAACAGCTGAATTAAGAGTCTTGAAATTTGGGCCGCACCGTACAACCGATCAAGCACAGAGTTATGCAATTTAATGCATGGTATTGTGTATTAATGCGGTGCGGTTGCACACGCCCATTTTCCAGGTGTTTGTTACCCTCCTACTTCCCCATACTCTCTCCTCCCGACGGCCTAATGCAGTTGTCTGCTCCCTCCTACCTCCCCATACTCTCCAATCCAGAAAGCTGGTGGACGATGCCTCTAAGTATGAACGCAGCCTGATCTACATTACCCTGTCGACTGAAGCATCATGTTTATGTAGACTGCAACATAGTTGACACTATGGCTATTTTTGCTTGCACATGTCTATTGTCGCCAGTTACGGCCTTGGAACATCGTCATTTCGGGCGAAACGTCGCATGCGACGCCAACCAGCGCGGCGCATTACGATTACCTTGTCACATGCGGCTGTAATAGCCTTTGATCTTTTCTGTTGGTTTGTGAGAGCCCGTTTTGACAACTGTTTTAGATCTTGTCACTGTGCAATTTACCATCACTGGCAGCGGACCTCGCTGCAAGCACGTTCTCTGCAAGTGTGGGATGTATTGTGAAGTTTGTGCTGGTACGTTCATTGGTCACTACCACAGCTAAAAGAGCATTTACATGAGTGATGCATTTCCATATGTGATTTTCAGCAACATGTCAAAGCTGGAGATAAACTTATGCTTTCAATAATGGAAGTATTTTTGCAATCAATCAATCCATTTGTTCTGCGAACATCACGTGCTTACTCTGAATCGAACGGGAGTGGTGCATCGCTGCTTGTACCACTTGGAGATGAAGGAATCGTAACAGCAATTACCAGTATGAGCAATGCTGTTCCTATTCTCAGTATGCTGACTAAGAATAACAGCCTGTCCGTTCCTGGCACGCAGGTATTGTCTTTCTTATACTGCTCTATTTCTGGCTTACAAAGATATGTGCGGCTTCAGGGAGATCTGCGAAATCGGGTTTGGGATGCATGGCTCACAGACACCGGAAAAAGGCTGCACACAGGATTTCGAAAGGTTTGTTCTTAAGTACTTTGTCACCGTTTCAAATATTAGTTCTTCCTGTTCCGCTTCATGGTTATTGGAATATTTAGCTTTTTTATATGTGTTTAGCCTCATTTTCACTTTTTAATCAGATAAGTACCCAAATAAGTCAGGCTGGTTTTCTTCAGGTTTCCCGGGTACTTGCATGGGAGACTGCTCTGCTAAAGATGATAGAACCGACGAAGGCGGTAGCAACGACGCAGACGGACCCCAGTGAGATTGAAGCTTTATCAGTTGGAACGAGCACTCCAATTAGGTTCGTTGTTTATTGAATAGGCAGGCGTCCATATCACTGTTAAAGACACAGTCCGCAATTGCAAACTATGAGTAGCGGGGTCCAGAAACGAAGGAGTATCTGGTGATTGAGTTAGTATGGTGTAGTTCACTGCGGACGGTTGGGCGTGTCAGTGCGGCTGCGTTTGGCGCGGTGCCAAACTCGTTCTCCACCAGTTGTTGAAGCGGGCAAGTGACATTACTGTATTATATCCTTCGTATTACTCGTTTTCTACCACTTTTTGTCGCATGCGCGTTTCAACAAGAAGGCAGAGAACGGCTCTGAAGGGGTGACACACTCATACTGGCTGACACGCCCAACCGTCCGCAGCGAACTGAAGTGTAGTGGAGAGGGAAAAAGAGCGCCGAACAGTGGTAGATGAAGCATCTTTCGGTTCAACGCCTTGTGCGTCATGCGACGAAGGAACTCAAAGCAGCACAATCACACTGCGACTGTTTTGAATGAGTTTAGTAGGAGTGAACTGACCTACGCAGGTGGAGCCTGACTTTGTGGCAAAATTCTGGCAGCGCCACCATGGTACAGCATCGTAGGGATAATCCCACAGCGGAGGGGGATAGTGGTCGGTCATTGGAGAAGGTAGGTCGTAAATGGTTGGTGGGCGCGGTATCTGGTCCTGACTGAAGGTTTTCGATCTACTCCCCCCCCCCTGCCACCTCGACCCCTTAGTTAGCGGCGCCGTCGAAGTGCTATAAAACTCTATTTCCGATACTTGAAATTAAAACTTATTCATTGACGACTTCATCTCCCCACTCTTGTTTAGGGAAAATTCGGAAATTCGTGGAAAATTGGGAAAAACTGTAGGAAGTTGAGGAAACTGGGAAGATGGTAGGTAGGATGGGGAAAAAGGATCCATAAGGAAGAAATCCGGGGAGGGGGGGGGGAGGGGAGGGAGTGAGCTCGTCTGACACCGCTATTTCTCCTACCTTGATGCTGTACCCTGTTAGCCGTTCACTATCAAGTCGCGAAAATGGTGCATTCTCTACGACTGCATTCTTATGCGGCAGATTAGACATTAATTAATCACATGCTGTGCCTTCTAACAGCGTGCGACTTCATCTCTTCGTATGAAAAATGTTTTAGTCACAGTTCGTCTGAGCCGAACAACGTTATGTCTGTGGCCGTTGACCCTCCCGCAACTGCTGCACGTCAGCCAGCTTGGGCAATGGCCGGGATCACTCAGGCTGAAAATGCATTTTGGCATCGCCATAAAAACGTCGCTGATATGGTGATAAAGGCGAATAAGTGAGTTGTCTTCAATCTCCCCACGATGTGAGATTCAGCCTAGTTTGACTTTTTCAGAACGGTTTCGGAGTTCCTCAGCCAGCTATCACGCTCATGTTTCGTTCCAACGAGGCGTAATCGAAGATACGATTTCTCTTCGTCAACCATGACCAAATCTGCTCAACTAATGGCAGATGAAGTTTTCGCCGGTTTCTTCCGTGATCTTAAGTGGACGTGTCATAAAGTGCCTGAGGGCGGTCCAATCCCTCCCATGGAGTTAGTTACCGTCGATTTGTAACCGTCGTTCCTTGTATATATCCTTTTTTCAAGGTTTGGTCGCCTTCAAGAAGTAATCGTGCAGATGTCTGTAGCTCTATTCGACGATCGTCGTCAGCCGTTTCATGCAATGCTTCAACGTTTTTATACCTCTGGATGCCATAATGCCTTCTGTGATTTAATGATGCACAAACTTGCACCTGCCCTTGGAAACGATTATAATGGTGGGTCTTTTTTCAAGCTCTCACTCACTCTCTCTCTCCTCTCCTCTCCTCTCCAGTGAGAGGTTGCACTGGCACTATGAAGCTGCAGTCGCCTAGCGCAGTGCATCCTTGTGAGGCATCAAAACGGTAGTCAAGGACGAATTGTACTCCCACCTCCGAGGACGGTCCTTGCCATGTGTGAGGTAAACGGATCCACAATTGCAGTCATAGCACTTTCTTTCTTAAGTCAAAGGCGTAGGGAAACGGGGCTGGAGGGGAGTGGTACCCAGCTGTTTTTCTCCATACTCCATCGTGCTGCCGCACGATCGGCGACACCATAGCCAAAATGCACTACATTGTCCTGGCGCCTCTCAACTTCTGTTTCGTTCGGACGCAGTGAGTGCGCTGCTTTCGCTGCGAGACGTTATCTTGAGCATAGCGCGGGCTGATTATGGAGACGTGCAAGAGAACGGGGTGGTATCCGAGTGCCGCCTCAAACTCCGTTCGCGCTTTGCTCAAGGTGTAGCACATCAGTCGACACCATGATCTTGCAGCGAAACACGCACTCAATGGTAGAGAACAACTAGAAGTGAGAGAGCGCAGACACGTAGCGCATGTCGCTACGGTATGGCTGGTGGTGCGGTAGCGCGGGCGGAGCGTGGAGACGGCGCCAGGGGTCCACTGCTCTCTAGCTCAGTTCTCCTGCAGAGAAAGTGGCACGCCACTTCAGCAGATAACCCGTTCACCTCACATTCGGCAAAGACTACGATCTACGTAGGTCGGTGTACAGTTTGTCTTCGGACCTATTGGAATCTCCCTGCCGTCTACCTTAGAAAAATCAGGAAAACTGATGGGGAAAGCTTAAGTCTTCTAAGACACAACCTTCCTGTTATTAACGCGCATGTCTTTACCCGTGGTAATATGCTGTCGTCCAATGATAGCACGCCACTAAACGATTTCGGCCCAATAGCACTCCAGCCTATGTATTCCTTTTTAGGTACTTTTTTCACAGGAGAATGCACTCGTTTTCAGACTGGTTGGAGCTTGCATTCCTCGAGTGGTTCCGCCTTGCGAGTAAATTAGCCCATAAGCAAAACATGCTGAATACTATGTACCGTCAGCCACAAGCGCTGACTATCGAATTTGACCCAAAGAAATATCTGAAACTAGTGCACAACGTGAGTTTTGAGTTTTTCCGCTCTGGATAGGAGTTCCAACTGGACCTCTTTCTAAGTGCTAGTTCTTCAAATCTTACTGCTTATTTAGGATTTCTTCCGTGCGTTTTGCGTCTTGTTCGCAAAGCTATCTGACGAAAAAGTTGACCTGAAATGCTGCCAGACGTTGTGCGAGACTGCCATTTCTGTTTATAAAGACGTATGGAATTTTAGTGATTATGACTTTGATCCTAAATGCATGCGAAGTGTCGCATTTATGGCTTTCATCATCATGGTATTTTTAGGTGGCCCATAGCCTTACTCCTGTTTCTGAAGAAAATCAGCGAGCTTCAAATGAGGAACTGGGAGACTCACTAAGACCGTCGGCTGCAGATGGTGAAGAGTCTCAACGAGATGCAGTGCTGAGGCAGTTGTTACCAGAAGGCAGTGTTTCCTTACTGGTTAGTTGTTTTCTTTCATCAGTCCGGTTTTTTATGGGCGATTTTTGATGCGGCGTAGGAATACTAGTTAGGGCCTTGTTCATAGTCAGCGCCTAGCCCATGATCGCGGATTTAGGAGAATTCAAAGCGAAGGACTAACCACGAAGCGATTCAATCAGTTTTCGACTTGAGCTGGATCGGAACCTATTTTTCTCATCATAATCACGGGTTCTCGCAAATCCATGATTTTCCTGTTGTCCCAAAGCGCAAGGAGGCCAGGGCCAAGTGACCATGTTGGATACTACTAACAACTTAAAGAGCGGCTTCTCTCCGCTCTTGCAGAGGTGGAGTTGACCTTCGAGATGACGATCGGTCTAAACACTAGGCCGATCAGAAACAGTTCCACCTAACAATCTCGCAGGTACAAAAGAATATACAAAAGCTAACGATCAATTTATCTGGTTTTTGCCGTTTCTTCTAAGCCTGCGATCCCCCGACTCTTTGAAGTCGTTGTGTATGAAGCAGGGCACATTGTACGTAGGGAATTCCCAGCAAGAGGGGGAGGGGGGTCATAACAGCTTTTGAGAAAAATATTTTCAATTGAGCTGACTTTTCTTTTTCACCGCTTTTTCTTCGTCTGTATCAATACCGCCCTCTCTCCAACCTTCCCACCCGATGGGGTTTTTCGGGGAAAAATGGT